TTAACGATTTTTTTTCTCGAAGCAGTTTTCTAATTTATTTTGCATTTTTTTAAGCTGCCATAATCGGTTGGAAATCAGTAGTTTTATTGCATTTTCAAGTCGATGCTTAGGTCTAATGACAGATGAAATGAGTTGAAAATTGTTTTTTTTCCTTTTTGCTATTTTAAAGGTGGCACTTTTGGGCATTTTTCTTTAGATTTATAAATGATTATTTGAGGATACACGATGAGTTGATGAAGGGAATAAAGTGCGGAAAGGTAAAAAGAATCTTAATTGTTGATTTTTTGTTGTTTAGACGTAAGTGAATAATTGAGTAGTATTCCGTTCGTTACAATCTTGAGGCGAGGCCAATAATTTGCATAGCTTAAACTATTTGCATATTGCAATTTCAACATTTCCTATAGTTTACTGATAGAGCGAAGCTGAATTTTCAGAGTGTAACCTTTGCTTTACCAGTGGGTATGGTGACTTATCTAATGAAGACGAAGATGTGTGATTATTGCTGATGGAATTTTATCCTAGTTTATCCTATTACAAATTCCTTAAGATGCTTTTAAGTTTATTTTGCATCACTTCAGCATCTAATTGTCTGATTTTTTTTTTGCTTACTCAGTTTTACTACGACTGATATCACATGGCTGTCATCTATTTTGTTTTCTTGTAAAAAAAACGGGCTAAACATGTTTCGTTAAAGAAGCGAGTGGGTGAAGGAGTGGGAAGTTTACTGCAATACTGTTCACCAAGTTAAAGAAAAATGCGGTTTCGTTTATTTCAGATGCTTGTCGTAGTCATCATCTAATGTAAAATTCTAGCAGAAGCTATTTTAATGTAAAAATTTTGCGGAAATGAACTTTCACTGTGACTGTTCAGTTGTTTTTCATATCGGTCACACGGAAGTAATTATTTTCATGTTATTATTCTACTGCCTTTCAAGCCAATGTTAATTTTGCTTTTACTTTCCCACTTTCTTCAACAATTTCAACTAGAGCTTTTTTAGCTCTACTTTTTTCTTCCATTTTCTAAGCCTTGTGTTTATAGTATATTTGTTGCATACTTGACAGTAACCCTTTTCATACCAAATATTATAATTGGCCATCATAAGTTTCCAGTGATATTTGACCGGAATAACCTTAGGAGTTCTTTTCCTGTTGTCTTCTTTTTTCTTTCATGAAAATTCAATTCGAAGCTTTGATGATTTCCGATTATATTTTGTTTTCAATTTTTTTGCATCTGTTTCGTCAGACTAACTTCTTAGCTTATTAGCTTTCCTTATTGGTTACGTGAAAGGAAAATAAAAGAGTTCTAGCCGATAATTTTTTGATTTATCAGTGAGTCGATTATTACTGATGTGAAGCAGTATTCTAGCAATGGATGCCAGAGCGCTAAAAGAAGGTGCACTTCTTCGGTATAAGGGTGGATTATTTGGTAAAAAATGGAAGGAGTGTTATGTGGTTCTTTACAGTGATTCTACGTTATGTTGGTATGACCGAAAAGTTAGCTTTTATATTGAGATGAAACTTGTTTGCTATTGTTTTTAACAATGATATTTTTCGCACAGCATCGAACGAAAATTTCAGCTCAGAGTTTGGTGCATAGAGCGTTGTGACTGAAAATTCGGTGACAAAATTAAAGACGTTTGATTCGATTTTTGATAGCATTGAAATGTACGTCAATGAGGAACTTAAACCTACGCACAAACAAACACAAAAAAAAAAAAA